ATAATTAAAGGCATACTTCGGTCCATCCTTCGAATTATCGGTATCCATCTATTGTCGTTGTCAACATCCCTGGATTCAATGACATCATCCCTGGATTCTACGCCATCATTTGATTATGTCGAAAGTCCTGGGGAACCATCTTCATATCGCAAGGCATCAAAAATTTACATCGAGGAGTTCCGGAGTAAGACCCCGACTGTTTGGTTCGACGCGTTAAGCAGCAGCGAGCGACCTGAGTACGACTGCCCTGTCTGCCGGTGTGAGTTCGAGTCTGAATCAGAGATTAACCTCTTGTCCTGCGGCCATACATTTCACAAGGAGTGCGTGGAAAAGTGGGTATCTGAGGGGTACCTGCCCTCTTTGCCGGACTCCTATGGTGGCCGATGAAGAGTTTGCCAACTACTGGTGAGAAGATTACAAGGGTTATGAGTTTGAGAAAAGTCTCCATTGTACAGCCTCTTTACTTCAAGTACAGGTATATATATAGTTTAACGTTGTCAACATGGGGCTTAGTGTTCGGTTACCCGCAAGTTTGCCTCGATGTGGTGATGTGTTGTGCAATTTTCAGGGTTTCTGGTGTTATATGCAAGCTCATTTTCTTCTTAAGCTTCGGCCTTGGATGTAGTATTTTTCATGAGTTCATTAATGTAAATATACACGTATGATAAATGAGGGTGATTTTATATGTACACAAAGGTCAAGATGTACAACAAAGCCTAGTGAAACCTAATCCATCACATTTTACTCTATTGACTGGTATAGAATGGACACAAATGGTTCATGCAGAAGGGACTTCAGCAGGTACTGGTCATTTTGAGTTCCATGCTTCTTTGAACCATTTCGTCGAGTAATCTCTTGGCGGTGTCCGAAACTTAATCGGTTCGGTTTACATGAGTGGCTGCAGCATTAGAAACTTTATCGGTTCCGTTTACGCGAATTGCGATATCATACACAATTCTCCCCAGAACTGAGGGAGCCAATTTCTTTTCTTGAGGAGTATCTCTGAGTAAATCCAACAGAGTGCGGGCTCTTTCTCGAGCTATGTTAGTGCCTTCTACTGTGAGTCTAAGAAGCCCTGGAATTGCACCTTCTTCAAGAATGTGTTCCCTTTACCTTTTCTTCGGCAGCTTTCGCACAGAGAAAGTAAAGCTCCAACGGCATGCTGTGTGCTGAGGAGTGAGCCATCTTCAACTGTCTCTATCAAGGTTAAAATCCCGGTGATCGCGACTCGCCCTTCTTCGGATTTCGAGCAGGGCTGTAGCTTTTTCAGCAAACTTGGAGTATTTCTTGCATTCTTTGAGGAGGTTGATAAGTGGGGAAACTGCTTTAGTATCAATAACTGGAACTGAATTCTCATTGCAGGTTGATAAGTTGTGTAACGCGGTGATGGCGTCGACTTTTCCTTGAACACTTCCGGAGCTAAGGATTTGAACCAGAAAGGATGCAGCTCCGGAGGATGCAATGACTGATTTATTAGGTGCAGCGGCTGAGAGCGTATGACGAGGACTTCCGTTTCTCTCTCTGCTGGAATTAATGCAATATGTATTTGTTGTAGAAATGAAAATTTTCAAACATGTGGATGCTGAATAATTTTGCAGAGGCAGGGAGCTAAAATATATGGAAGTTGCTTGTTCTTTATACTAATAAATTATTTCTTTAATGTCAATTTTTTTGTACTTTCTGTTCCAGAATTTTATCTTGACTAATTCGGATCGATCTATATCGCACATTTGATTTTAATGAGTGAATCTTTTGGTATAAATTTTCTACATACATAAATATTCAAACTCGAGACTTACTTAAGTAATATCAAACTATTTACCACTTGAACCGATAATTTATTTTAAGGTGATAAATTCTTACTTTCATTTGTATTATAAATATAAGATAAATTACACATCCAGTACATAAACTATCAAGTTTGGTTTATTTTAGTACTTAAACTTTCAAGTTTTTAAAACTATTATTATTATTTTTTAAATTAACATTATTATTTAAAAAAATGAGAGTTTAAGTACTAAAATAGACCAAAATTGATAGTCTAGGTACTAAGCACGTTAAGTTTTTAAGGTTGAGTATTAAAATGAAACAAAAACTAAACGTTAGATATGATTTTGAAAAAATTAAAAGTTTAGATACTAGAACCGATAATTTAGTTACTTAATGCGTAGTTTATCCTAAATATAATTATATATTTAAAAAAACTTGAATTTTAAAAGTCAATAGAATAATGAACAAAACTTATAAATGTCTGATTGAATTTACATGGCGTAGTAGTCGTGCAATCTAGCCTTGCTACGAAACTTACCATAAATTTTGTTTAAAACTCTATCAAAATCAATTTCTGCAAATTCATGAAAGGAAAAAAAGTAAAATAAAAAGACTGCGGGGCATCCCTATAAACAGTAGCGCATCCAGAAAAATTATTTAGGATGGGCACGTAAATATTACCAACATAAATTTTTTAAATAGGATACTTATAAATAAAATTTCAGATGAATAATGTCCATAAAATAAATAATTAATCGAAGAAAATTTCAGTAAAATAAGTAACTGATTCAGATTTCAGGGTGAATATATGCCCACCCTCACTAAGCTGTGACTCTGCCGCCGCCGATAAAATCAAATCGGATCAAAATTCATCGGATTTAAATGTTTTGACCCTTGCTACTTCACCTATCGTTTTTTCTGTTTTTATTTATCTAATTCTTTTATTTTAAAAAAAATATTTTAAATTAGTCATTTTAAAGGCTCTTTTTCTTCTTTGAACCTTCTGCAATCTTTCTCGACGTATTTCTCTGTTGCCAAATCCATTATTATGATCGATCCGCGTTAACTCCAATGTTGTTTTGCTTTATTGCTTGGTGGTTTCCTGTCTCCAGAAAGTCCATCTTAACCCCAAACCGTAACCAAAGAGAAAGCTTGGAACACTATAAATATACCTACTTGTGCAAATCATTTCATTTCCTGTGTACAAGGCTCCTGTCCTAGACTACTTTATCCTCATTGGTTTCTTTCAAGAAACAAACATGTCGACTTCAGCAAGTGCATTAGCTATTGAAAACAGGATGGTTCCTGAGAATGAAGTTCAACAGGTCGAATTACTTAATGGGGTCGAGGATTCATATGGTGGGACCATTATAAACATGGAGAAACCTATGGAATCCGAGGCATTCGCCTTTTCACTTAGAGCTTCAATATCGCAATGAAAGCTACAGGTCAGTGATTCCATCTATCTGCCTTTTTGTTCTTAATAGCTTTGCTGCAGAATTCATGGGATTTTGAATTGGTAAACCGCAAACAGATTTTGCAGGGAAAGAGAGCTGTCTGGATTCAATTGCGTATCCAACTTGTTAATCTGGTTGAACCCTCGGTTAAGGTAAATGCATCGAAATTTGGATATTTTCAAGACTTCTGCTTTGAGTATTTTCAATGTAGTGAATTTGGTTAATTTCCCAGGAAGGGTTTAGGTACCACCACGCAGAACCAGATTATCTGATGCTTGTGAGTTGGATCAGTGATTCTACAAATACGATTCCTGAAAATGCTTCACACCGTGTGGGGATTGGTCCTTTTGTCGTCAATGACAAAAGAGAGGTAACCTTTTCAGTTTCTTTCTACGGAGCTATTTGAATTTGCTAATCATTCTGATTTTTTCCAATAGGTGCTTGTAGTGCAAGAGAATAATGGCAAGTTCAAAGGCAAAGGTGCCTGGAAATTCCCTACTGGAGTTGTTAACGAGGTGAGTTAACTATGAACATTGTTTTTTTTTTACATTTTATCTTTTTGGATTGAACTGAAAGTTTCTGTGCACAGGGTGAAGAAATTTGCATGGCAGCAATCAGTTAAGTTAAAGAAGAAACAGGGGCAAATCAGAAAGATTAATAATTCTTCTTGCTAACATGAATCTGACCAAGCTGTTTCTTCTTTCTTCAGATCGACAGCGAATTCGTGGAGATTCTAGCGTTTAGGTATATCCATTGTCCACTAATTGTGTTACATGAACGTAGTTCTTGAGGTGATTTACATATCGAGTATTGACCTTCCCCTAATGCAGGCAAAGCCACAGGTCGTTCTTCACGAAATCGGATTTTTTTTTTTGTTTGCATGTTGCGTCCACTCAGCCTCGACATCCAGAAGCAAGATACGGAGATTGAAGCAGCCAAGGTATATTCTAGCTTTATCTTCCTTTTGTTTAACCATCTTGGATTATATTTCCTATTGTTTTATCTTCCTGCTTTTTTTTTGCAGTGGATGGCATTCAAGGAGTATGCAGCCCAAGCTTTTGTCCAGAAACATGATGCCTTTAGTAGTGTTGCCGACATATGCTTAACAAAGTTGGAGAAGAAGTACATCGGATTTTCACCGATTCCGAGAACCACGGCTTATGGGAAAACTAGTTACTTGTACTTCAATACCGGAGATCAGAACAAGTTGTAAGCAACACTGCAGCACTGCAGCAATGATATGGTCACTGATAATGAATAAAAGTCTAGATGTTTTCAAGCGCCTTATGTTCATACAAACCAACACAATGCAAAATTTTTAACAAACTGCCAAAGAATAGAAACAAAACATCGTTTTCTGAAACAAACGGAAGTTATTGTGTGTTGTTTCTACTGATACTCCTCACAAACAAGACATTGTTTTTAATTCAGCAAGTTGCAATGCTTTCATGTTCATACAACATGTCACGGTTAGTTGTCTATATATATAAAAAAAAAACTTCGAAAAAGAGAGTATCAGAACATGGGGAAAACAAATTTACAGCATACATCTAAATAAGGCAGAAGAAAGAATATTGCATTTACTGCACAAACAAGCTATCCTATACGGACAAATAAAGAGAAACAGGAATCAATAAAGAAAAAGAAGAAAGAAAACGACCCATGCAAGTGGGACTCAGCACTTAATGCTCCTTAGCTCACAAACCACGGAAGAAATGAAAAAGAAAACAAAAAAAGAAATTAAATTTTCTATCAATCTGATAAACATTTCTATATCAATAATGTATTCACATTAATAATACACCAATGGACAAGCTTAGCAACACCATCACCAATCTCCCCCACCATCCAATCCTGCAACCCCATTTTCGTTATCTGCCGTCTGATCATCGGCTGGATCACTCTCCGCTGGTGCATCAGATTCCGGTGCATCGGCTGCGACCTTGTGCTTGGATTTCGATGGCTTTGGTGACTCGGCCGCTTCTTCCACTGGCTTGAACAACTCTCTGGGCAACAATACCTTACTAATTTTGTAAACAATCAATGGCTCCTCATCTTTCAAAGTCCCTGTAATCTTTGCAGTCATAACTTTAGTCTCCAATGTCACCTCCTCGCCGTCATTTTGAATGGTGAAATCGTACTTGTTCGCTCCATCGGTCGCCAGTGTGTTCATGATCCCATTGTTGGATTTCAGCATTTGCATGGACTGGTACACGGGAATCCCGTGGTACAACAGCAGGGAAACTTTCTTGGATGCTGTCATGTTCTTGTATTTAGGCATGAAACCGTTGATGACAGGGTCGGTAGGGCAAAACACTGTTAAACCTCCATCGACGTTTTGGTTGAACGTCGCATCGGCTCCTGAAGATATCAGTAAATCTGCAAACGCTTTGCATCCTTGCTTTGACATTATCGCTGTTAGATTAAGCTGGCTTGGCTCTGCGGTTGGTGCTTCAGCTTCGGCTGAATTCAAAGGCTGAATCAAAAACAAAAGAATTAGCTAATCATCAATTGAGAAAACTATGTAATACTGTATAATATATACGGTCGGTATATATACCTGACTGATCTGTAGGACAGAGATGTTGTAAGGAAGCTCTGCTACGGATTTAACGTAAACAGCATCGAGTTTTCCATCGTTGTTTTCGGCTCCGAAGCCGACTTTTCCGCCTTTGAGATCGGTGATGTTGATGTAGCCGGAGGAACCAGGAGCAGCACCGGTAGCCTGGAACATGGTGGAGGTCAAAGCAGTTCCATCGGTAATCTGGTGAAGCTTCTTGGAACCGAAGTAGTCGACGAGGACATGGAGAGAGAGGACATTCTTGAGGGTGTAGAGGGAGAGTTGTTTAGACAAGAGAGATGACATGGCGGCATTGTTGAGTGCCAGAACAGTTATGGTTTCGCGTCGGTTGATCTCGGCGGCCAAGTGAGTGACAGTTAGGTAGTGGTTGAAGGTGGAGAACTCGGGGTGTTTGGCGAGGATGCGCGTGATGTTGTGAGCATTTGAGGTGGTGGAGAGAAGGAGGAGGAAGAGGACGAGGGCGGTGGTTGCCGGTGCCATGGTGGGTTGGATCTGGGGAAGATGTGATCGTGTCTGTGTTGTTTAAGAAGAGTGAGGTGTGGAGATTTTTGTAGTACCCATTGCAGGCTTATCACTGCCAACTAACTAATAGCTGGAACTGGTCCCACATGTACAAGTTGGCCCCTTATCCTCATTTCAACGACTCTCATTCTATTCCGTTTTTCGCATAACCCCGTTGGTCAGTCTAAAATGAACATCGGTTAATATCTCCCGTAATGTATAGTATCTAATCATGCATGGCATGGGCCTCAGGTCACTTTTGAACAGTATTTTCTCCTTTAATTTTGCTAAAGGTTGGAGATTAATGAGTGGGTTAAGCTGTGGGAGCCACACGTGTCGGAAGGCACGTGCTACGCTGTTTTGCCACGTTGGCACGCACGCTAAAACATAGCTCCACCGACACTTCTCCCCGGTTTGGTTATTGCTTTCAGCTTCATTATCTGCCTCTTTCTGTTTCATTTTATTTCAGCATTTCATTAAGTTAGATCCTCTCCTGATTCCGAGGTTTACTTCTTTGGACAATCAGTAGTAATTCATGAAGTTTTTTTTGGGGACTAATTTAAATTAGAGGATTTTATTATTATATTTTTTTGTTAAAATTAAATTGTTTATTGATGCTTCTTTCATTCAATAATTTTTATAAATAAAAAAATTCACTGTGATTTAACATGAAATCTTAAAGTCGATTCTATTTAGACAACAAGTCGAACTCACATATGCATCCTAAGTTAGATTCTACATTAAACATATGCAACAAATTTTGCATAGATGATAAAAGTTGTGCTATTATTTGATGAAATTGAATATATATATATATATAATCACAGATCTAAAAATTAAAAAATATGGGTTCAAAAATTTTAATATTCTATTATAAAAAAATTGTGTTTGTAAATTTTTTTATTTTTTCTATTCTTATTAACAAATTAAACTAACTTTAACATTTTTCTCAAAATAATATGTGTGATCCCGCTTCTCTCCACAAAGTGGTAGTGCTAAAGACATAAACAATCATAGATAAATGTGAGATACAATCCTTCCTAATGGGATAATAGAATTTATACTATTATTTAATATTCTACTACTCTTTTTTTCTTAATTGAATAAATAATTGGAAAATAAAACATCAAGTACAAAAATGAGTAATAACTCCCGGTAGAGACTGATGCGATTCAATTCAACATTTTGTTCGTTCGGGTTTGATTGTGTCATAGTTCTATAATTAATTCGAATTAGGTTTATCGTTTGATGAACTGCATTGTTGATATTGACCCCAAAAAAGAAACGGTATGTACAACTAGTCCGTGATCAACCAACCACCGCACTGTAAAAATTGGATAGGTTCGATCTATGGTCATTGGGTCTTCCTAAAAAAATCTACTAAATTCATCGAGTTGTTCTAAAGAATCAAAACGGCAGTGACTCTTTCAGAAAACCAAAACCAAGTCAATTAACCCGGATAAATTATTTTGGTTTCTTAAACAAAGTTTGGTCAGTTGGATTGTATTTCAAAATTCAACCAGTTTGTTCAGTTCAATTATTGTTTATTTTATTAATTATTATTTCATTATTGTAATAATTAATAATAAATTTAGTATATTAAAATAATATTGATAAAATTTTGAAATTTTAAAACTCAATTGAGTTTTTTATAGACAATATTAATTCTTTTGAACGAGTATGGGGACTAAAATATACTATAAATCTAAATGAACAAATTATGATTTTCTACCAACTTTTTTAAATATGTTCTTTCGAAACATGTTTCAGGCCAACAATGAATTTCTCATTCATCTTAAAATATAAGATGCAAAATGGTCCATCTATCATTCCGTTGTTTCATCACGGTTATTGCTTTATTAAGTTTTAGCTTAATATAAAAATAAGTGCGTAAATCTTGTCTCGAAAAATATTTTAATATTTAAAATATCGTTAAAAATAGGTGTTAAAAATTTATTCCGATACACTTTTAATTGTCTAGCTCTAATTACCATTAAAAAATCAGTATCCAATTAAAACGCGGCACGTGTTGGTTTTTCTATTTTTTTATAATTTCTTTAAATTCAAATATAAAATAATGAAAAGAATTTTAAAAAAATTCCTTCTGTTCCACCCCACCCTGCGTCGCCTTCTCTCCCCCACCCCATCGCAGAAGCCCTTCTCCCCCTCTTCCCAAACCCTTCATCCCGTTGATTGCTCCCAAAAAATAGGGATGCAATTGCCACCAGAAAATTAAGATGGAATTTCACGAGGAATTGCGACACTTTTGCATCAAATCTATCCCACCCTTCATTTATAAATTACACATTTTATAAATTAGGAATTAGGGTTTATGATTAGGGATTCGAAAATCCTAAAATAAAATGTTTCATTTACAACGTTTTTTGTCGATCGGTTACAAAAATATGGGGGTTTGATCATTGGTGATCGGTCGGTTACACGTTGTTGGGTGTTCTACTGATTGACGACGTTGGTGGCGGATGGCGATGATAAAAGGATTAAAATTAAAATTTTAAAAGTTTTGGGTTCTTTTTAATATTTGAAAAAAATTAGTTTTTTAATTATATTTTTTTTATTTTAAAAAAAATTCTTAAAAATACCCGAACATGATACGTATCATTAACAAAGATTTTTAAAGACGGTTAACGTCCAAACACCCAAAAGTATAACGGAAAAATGTTAAACACCTATTTTTAGTGAATTTTTTTTAAAAAAATTTTATATTAATAATTAAAATTTTCCCCATTCTACTCTTGCTATATTTTTCATTTTTCAAGCATCTAATAATAATTTTTCAGCAAATGCTCAGACACCCACAGATTGATAGTTGCATTAAAATATTCAAAATTAATAATAAAAACATATATCTGCAAAAAAATATTAATATGGCCAACTTATCAAAAACGAACTCTGTTACATAAATCATAGAATGGTTTATAATAATATTACTTTCGATTATTTTTTAATTAATACGATGTGAATACAAAACAATATATATTTAAAGATATTTTTAATTATTGAATATTTATTTTTTTATATTCATGATACTTAAACTCGAAACTTTAAAGAATAACAATAATTTTTTTATCACTGAGATATTTTCATTAATGCATTACATTTGAATACTTTAATTAGCATTAACAGAAAATGAAAAAGGATGATGCTGTTGTAGGGAGGGTATCCAAAGTTTAGAATGATTTTACTGCCACATGGTTACATTAACATATTTAAAACTAATACTGAAAACATATATGTACAAAAAAAATATTAATATGACCAACTTATAAAAAATGAACTCTGCTACATAAATAATAGAATGGTTTAGAATAATACTTTTGATTATTTTTTTATTAATACAAGATAAGTTCAAAATAATATTTGTTTAAATATCGTTTTCAACTATTTAACATTAAATGCTTACACTCGTGATATTCCTGCTTGAATCTAAAACCTCAAGAAATAACAATATTCTTTTAACATTTATATCGTTTGATGCTTGCATTACATTTGATTACTTTAATTAGCATTAAGAGAAAATGAAAAGAATGATGCAGTAGCAAGGAGGGTAACCAAAGTTTAGAATAATATTACTGCCACATGAAATGGTAGCGTAAAATATTGCAGCGATATTAGATTTCAAAACTCGTAAAAAAAAGTTACACCAAATCCAGATGGATCAAAAATGAAAAAAAGTTGGAACATTTGGAGATAGAAATGTAAAATATTATAATCTTAATTAAGCTTCATTCTCAAACCTTGAAAGGTTGAACCCTTGATGGATCCCATGGATATGTCGATCTCTATCAGGTTTTCCTCTTCATGCATGTCGTTCAACTCTGCTAGAAGCTCCATTAAGCTCCGTTGCTGGAAAATGGATTCCGGCATGAAGTCCGGCAATTTCCGCTGTATAGTACTGTAATTATTTGGCTGATCATCTTCTTTGTGCTTAACGTAATGTCCCCCAGGAAGTGAGATTTCAATGAGACTATCCTCGTCGGATATCGATCCTTCTTCCGACCAATCCGGCGTTCTATCCATGTTGTCCAGAAACGGCCACTCCACTTCGGAATCTTCGGTGGTTGATAACTGATAATCAAAAAATTCGTTTTCCGACAAGATATCTGGTGATTTGACTATGTAGTCATGTATCTAATTATCATGGGAACCGCTTTCCTTACTAATTTCGGCAAAACTTTCGAGATAATGTTCTGAAAGAAATTAATTCACGAGCTAATGCACTCCCAAGATTAATTACTCAAATAGGGTGAAATCTACAGTGTTGGCCGTAGGTCGCCATGCACTCCGGGCGACCTACCCTTGCTCAAACAGAGAGAATGAACGTGAGAATGAACGTGTTGCATGGCACATGCACATCCCAACACATAGGTCGCCATGCCCTACGGGCGACCTTGTAGGTCGCCGTGCACTCCGAGCGACCTACCCTCGCTCGGCTTCCCTCGGATTCCCTCGCATAGCTCGCTCAGTTGCCCTCGGATGCCCTCGCATAGCTCGTTCGGATGGCATCGGTCGGATGGCCTCGGATGCTCTCGGATGGCCTCGGTCGGATGGCCTCGGATGCCCAACGTGTTGGGACGTGCATGGCACATGCAATCTCTTGTAGCTCGCCGGGAAGACATGGCGACCTAGTAGGTCGCCCGGAAGGCATGGCGACCTACGGCCAACACTATGGATTTCACCTTATTTGAGCAATTAATCTTGGGAGTGCTTTTTCTCGTGAATTAATTTTTTCCAGAACATTATCTTGAAAGTTTTGCCTACTAATTTCAGTTTCAGGCTGTTGTCTTGATGCCGAAGTATCTTCCATTTGTGGCGAGCTTTGCTCCACAGATTCATGAATATTATCTTCTTCGACTGATTTCACCGCCAACTTCGGTTTGTTCTTGGATAATAGGAAAAGAACAGTTGAGAAGATCAAGACCGTGGATGTGAAGAAGATTGATAAGAACCCAAAGATCGAAAAACAAGCAAATGTTTTATATTCATTACCTAATAGATTAGTAAGATTTTTT